TCTCTCTGCTGTGGCCTGGGAAGGCAGTAGAAGATGGCCCAAGTCCTTGGGCCCCTGCACCCACATGGGAGACCTGGAAGAAGCTCCTGGGTCCTGGCTTCAGATTGGCATAGCTCTGGCCATTGTGGCCAATTGGGGAGTGAACCAGTGATGGAAGACTCTCTCTCTCTCTCTCTCTCTCTCTCTCTCTCTCTCTCTGCCTCTCCTTCTCTCTCTGTGTAAATCTGACTTTCAAATAAATAAATAAATCTTAAAAAGAAAAAAGTCTTTTCCCATTTCTTAACTGGATTGTTTTGTTGTTGAGTTTGTGAGCTCCTTATAGATTCTGGCTATTAATCCTTTATTGGTTGGATAGATTGCAAATATTTTCTCCCATTCTGTTGATTGACTCTTCAGTTTGCTGAGTGTTCCTATTGCAGTGCAGAAGCATCTCAGCTTGATGCAATCCCATTTGTTAATTTTGGCTTTGATTGCCTGTGTTTCTGGTGTCTTTTCTAAAGAAGTCTTTGCCTGTGGCAATGTCGTGCAGAGTTCCCCAGTGTCCTCTAGTAATTTTATTGCATCAGGTCATAGATTTAGGTCTTTGGTTCATTTTGAGTAAATTTTTGTGTAAGGTATAAGGAAGGGGTATTGTTTCATATTTCTGCACAGGGAGAACCAATGAGTTCTTTGGCTTTATTTCTTGCAGGACTTATCTTCCTCTTCCCCATGCTTTAAAAATATTTATTTATATAAATGTTTATGTATTTTTGTTTGTATATTATGTATATTTATGTATTTATTTGAAATGCACTGTGCAGAAGGCAAGATCTTCCATCCAGTGGTCTGTTTCTCAAATAGGTAGGCCAGAAAGATAGAACTTCATGTGAGTCTCCCACACAGGTGGCTGTGCCCTAAGTACTTACTCCATCTGCCCCCTTCCCAGGCACATTGGAAGGGAGCTGGTTTGGAAGCCAAACAATCATGACTCAAACTATTACTCTGATATTTGATACCAGCATTGCTAGCAGCAGCTTAGCCTGTTATACCACAATGTCTATCTTTCTTCCCCGCTGTTCTAATACAACATCACAAGTATTTAAACTGTAGTTTTTTCTTCCTTGATCTTGTAAACAGGAGAGTTTCCTCTAAATAAAATGTGCTGAATGATTGACTTTCTCCTTTACAGGTTTCCTCAATCCAGTGTGGCCTTTTTTTTTGGTTGCCTTTCAATTCCTCCTAATGGCTGTGTCTAAGTTTTGTTGAATTTCATGTTTTTTTCTGTGAAAGTTCATCTTGTGAAATACTTTGTTATCAGCATGATACTTTTCAGATGTTGATAGTATAAAATCTGTCTCTGTCTTCTACACTTAATCTTGTTTTTTCATTATGTCTGCTCTTAGTTTAAGTCTCCAGTCTTATTTTTTGCTGTGCATATCAAATCTTACATAATAATTTATATAAAGAAGTTGATAAATAGGCCTACATGTCAGATTTTGCTTATTGCTTTTATATATGGAATGTGTGCTCTTTTTTGACTTTATTTTTTGTAAGATTTTAAATGCTTTTGTGGTTCACAATAGCCATCTCTTTTCAAATATTTATTTATGTGTTTGAGAGGCAGAATTTCAGAGAAAGAGAGAGAGAGAGACAGAGATATTGAGATCTTCTATCTATTGGATCACTCCCCAAATGGCTTCAATAGCTAAGGCTGCACCAGGCTAAAACCAGGAGCTAAGAACTCCATCTGGGTCTCCTATTTGGGTGGCAGGGCCCCACACTGTGGATCATCCTCTGCTGCCTTCCCTAATGCATTAGCAAGGAGCAGGATTGAAAGTGGAGCAGCCAGCATCATAGGTGGTGAGTTAACCCACTCTGCCACAATGTTAGCCCTGAGTCATCATCTTTTACTTGCAAATCATATTATACCTCTTTATAATATGTGGTTTATTGCTGTGTCGACACTAAAGTTTGGGTATCATGAATGTCTAAGATGACTCTAAGGTGCTGTGTTTCTTCAAAAGACTAAAAATATTCAGGAAAGTCTTCATATTCACATCCCCATTTATTACACTAGAGAGATCTACTAAAGTGAGCTGAGAAATGAGCTGGATCTAGATCTACCATATGGGCGGCAGGTGAACAAGCACTTGAGCCATTACTTCTGCCTTCTTAGGGTCTGCGCCAGTAAAAACTTTTGGTTAGGATTCAGAGCTGGGCCTTGGGCATCCTAATAGCTATGTTGAATGCCCTGCTCCATCTGATGACATTTATGTTATATTCAGATCTTTTAATTTTTTGATTTACCCTAATAGGAGAACATTTCAGAAGATTCTTTGTATTTTGTAGGTATAAGTTGCATTTTGATCATAATCATTTGCATTTATCTTTGATTTGACTAATAGCTCTCACAGTGCTGAATAATTGTGTTCATGTAGCATCCTTGTGTCCCAGTGTTTCCTCTTGAACTGTGATACTGTTTGGGGGGCCAAGATATATACAGTATATCATATTAAGAAAATGCACTGAAATCTCTTTTACTGAGGGTGTGTTTTACAAATGGAATATTTGAAAATATATTTTTCAGGGGCTGACACTGTGGCGTAGTGGGTGAAGCTGCTGACTAAAGTGGCAGCCTCCCCCATGGGCACTGGTTCAAGTCTCAGCTGCCCTATTTCTGATCCAGCTCTCCAGCTGTGGCCTAGGAAAGCAGTGGAGGATGGCCTAGGTCTTTGGGCCCCTGCATCCATGTGGGAGACCAGGAAGAGGCTCCTGGCTCTGGATTGGCACAGCTCTGGCTGTTGCAGCCAATTGGGGAGTGGACCAGTGGATGGAAGACCTCTTTCTCTCTCTGCCTCCCCTCCCTCTGTGCAACTCTGACTTTCAAGTAAAATAAATACAGCTTAAAAAAAAGAAAATATATTTTTCAAATCTATATGGATGATCAAAGAATGTTTTTTTTCTGTGGAACAAGAAATATGATGAGATGTTTAGAGTGAAAATAACATACAATTCCTTTGGTAGTAAAAATGTTGAAATCATATATGCTCATTAGTAGACTCTTTATAATTAAGCTTTTCTGTATCTCACAAAGAAATTTGACAAATTCATTGATTGTTATGTCATTCTAGTACTATTTGCTTTTCTGCTCTTTATGTTAGCTTATATTGGAATCATTCATTCTGATGGTGTCAAGCATCATTGAAATTCTGCTGCTTTCCAAATTTTTATCTGCAGTCTAGATTTCAAACTCTAGGTTATATGTTGGTTGCTATTTGAATGTGTCCACGTATTTGACTACAGAAACTTCAAAACAGTTTGTCTAAGTTCAGTGTCATTTCTTTCTATCATATTCTTTGTATTTTCTCCTAATTTCTATTTACAATGCAAGTGTCTACCAGCCCTTCGTGCATATAACATGTAATTAAACTCCATGTTTCACCTTTTACACAAGAAATTAACACTGAATTCTGTTCCTGCTTTCTTGATTACTTGTTTTTTTTAATTTATTTATTTGAAAGATGGAGAGAGAGAGAGAGAAAGAGAGAGACACTTACATCTATTGGTTCACTCCCCAGTTGGATACAATGGCAAGTGCTGGACCAGGCTGAAGTCCAAAGTCCAGAGACAGAGGCTTCACCCAGGTCTTCCAAGTGGGTGACGGGAGCCCAAACATTTGGGCCACCTTTCTCTGCCTTTCTCAGACCATTAGTAGGAAGCTGAATCAGAACTGAAATAGCCATGACATGAACTGGCACCCATATGGGTTGCTGGCATCAGAGAGAAGTTTTGCCTGCCACACCACAATGTCAGGCCCTCTCTCTTCCTTTTTATATTTAGTTCCTTTTGCTATTTCTTATTGCTCTCTGTTATATGGTTAGTGCTAATGTTCCTCATTTTTCCTGTAATTCTCCGTTTAGCTCTTACCATTCCCTTCCAGAGTATGATTTTTTTATAAGATTTATTTATTTATTTGAAAAACAGTTACAGATGGAGAGAGGCAGAGAGAGAGATGGATACCTTACACCCCCCCCCCCAAAAAAAAAACCCACCACTCTGCAGCAACTAGTTCTGGATCATGCTGAGCTAGGAGCTTCTTGTTCTCTTACATGAATGAAGGAGCCCAAGCACTTGGAACATCTTCTCCTGCTTTCCCAGGTGCATTACCAGAGAGCTGGATTGGAAGTGGAGCAGTTGAGAATCAAACCAATGCCCAAATGGGATGCTGGCGTTTCTGGTGGGACCTTTACCCACTCTGGACGCCAGGATATGATTTTAAATGTAAATCTGGTCAAGTAATTGCCCCTTTTCCCAAGTATTTCCATCCTGTGTTTTAGGTAGTGGGTGATCATTTTCATCTGAATAATAACTGTTTTGTTTGTTGGAAGAAATATGGGCAATTTTATAGAACCAACTAGCACATACAAATTTTTATTTTTGTTATTATAATAAGTATGTAACTAAAGAATCACTCATTTATTAGCTTCCTGAGCACCTTTGAGGAACCCAGATGTGGTTCAGTTTGTAGTGCCATTCACCTGGCCTCTGTTACTTGTGCTTGTCCTGCCTGACTTGTGTTGCATCATAGTCATAAACACATTGTTACAGATATAATCATCTTTGGTGGTTTATTAAGCTGTAACCTGATAATATAAAAACTATTTTTAAAGCAAAATTCATTACCCTGAGGTACACTGAACATGTTTCTCTTAGTTCATCTAACATGTTATTTCAGTATGTGTTCACACTTATGCCTACAGATTACATTGTCAGCTCCTTCCAGAATTATTAAGCAGAAAGTCTTTCCAGATACATTAGAAAGTTTCTATTATAGTGATATTAGAATTATAAAACTAGTAGAGTCATTATTTTCATTGTGGTTTTGCTTTCTTGTGCTATATCATATACAAAATAGGCTACATCTTATGTAAGAGGCATATAAGACACGTATAGAAGAGTGCATTCTCAGTCTTCTTTTGTGACCCAGAACTGATATGTTGACGAGAGATGTACTGTTTTAGGCATTGGTGTCATTTGAAGACCTGGCTATGAACTTCACCTGGGAGGAGTGGCAGGGCCTGGACAATGCTCAAAGAATCCTATACAGGGATGTGATGCTGGAGACCTAAAGCTGCCTGCTGTCATTGGGTGAGTGAAACTGTTCAGTCACACAGAGTTGGTATGGTTTATTATATGAACGTGTTAAGGGAAAAGCCATATAAAGCTCACAAATAAATATCTTTTATGATTATGTTAAATCATATGCCACTGAGACAACAAAGATAACAAGTCCTTCATTTCTTTTACATGAACATTCCAGGAGAAACAGTTAGATGTGATTCATGGTAAGTGTTTTTTTTTTTTTTTTTCATTTCAGTAGTAGCCCAGAAAAGAGATGACCTGATTGGGACCAACCAGGACAATGCAGACATAAGTTTGATAAGTTTGATTCCAGATGTAATGACAAATAACATATCAGTTCACAAGAGAGTTAAGAAAAACACCTAATTTAAGTCCAAGACATGTTCCAAAACTGATTATCAAAAAGGGAGTAAAACCTGAGGCATTCAGTGCATTCCATGATGTGTATCTGCCTAATGGGCCTAATGAGATACAAGCTGGAGAGAAATCTCGTGACAGTAACGTACCTGGGAACTCTTTCCAGTGCTGTGAACCTGCTAGTCAATATCACAAGATTCAGACTGTGCAGCAGGCATTAGAACACAGTGGACAAATAAAAGATTTAAAGCATAAGAAGGTAGTCTTTACATTTGAGAGGGTTCATATGGAAGACACCTCTGAAAAGTCAGTTGTCTTTGTCGGAAAGATAACTCAGATAGGAAATAAAACTTTTCATAAAAATTCCAACCTCAGTAAGCATCAACAAACCCACACAGCAGAGAAACTCTATGAATCTAGTGAGTATTAAGAAACTATCTGGCACAAATCAGACATTACAATAAACCAGAGAATGTATACAGGAAAGAAACCTTATGTGTGTAAAGCCAATGAAAATCTTTCAGCTGTAAATATTGCTGTACTATCCATTACAAAACTCACATATGAGAAAAGCCCTTTGGGTGCAATGAATGTGGACAGGCCAATTACCAGGAGTTGGACCTCACTAGACTTCAGAGTTAACATGGTGGCAAAACCTTATAAGTGCAATAAATGTGAAAAAGCCTTTGGCTGGAAATCACACCTCACATCATATCAGAGGATTCATACAGAGGAGAAACCTTAGGAATGTAATGTGTGTGGAAAAGCTTTTAGTAATCAGTCACTCCTCTGTATACATCGGAGAATTCATACAGGGGAGAAACCTTACAAATGTAGTGAATGTGGGAAAGCCTTTTGCTGGAAGTCACACTTCATAACACATCAGAAAATTCACACAGGGAAGAAACCTCATGAATGTAATAAGTGTGGAAAAGCCTTTGTCCAGAAGTCATATTTAACTTTGCATCAGAGAATTTATACAGGAAAGAAACCTTATGAATGTAATATGTGTGTGAAAGCCTTTTGGTGCAAGTCAGACCTCGTAAAACATGAGAGAATCGACACAGGGGAGAAGCCATTTGAATGTAGTGAGTGTGGGAAAGCCTATAGCCAGAAGTCACAACTCATTGTTCATCAGTGAGTTCACACAGGGGAGAAACCTTATAAATGCAATGTGTGTGGACAAGCCTTTTGCTGCAAGTTATTGCTCAGTATACATCAGAGAATTCACACAGGAGAGAAACATCATATGTGCAATCAGTAGGGGAAAGTCTTTTGCAATAAATCAATTCTTAACACATCAGAGAAGTCATATAGGAGAGAAACCTTATGAATATAATAAATGTGGAAAAGTCTTTTGCCAGAAGTCACATATCCTAAGACATCAGAGCATTCACACAGGAGAGAAACCTTATGAGCATAATATGTGTGGAAAAGCCAGTGCCAGAAGTCAAATCTCATAATACACCAGATAATTCACCCAGGGGAGGACCTCAACAGTGATCAGAGAGCTTTCACAAAGAAAAAGAAAGCCCTGGCGTTATAATGAATATGAAAACTCTGCATTTCAAATAAATACATAAATATACATAATATACAAACAAAAATACATAAACATTTACATAAATAAATATTTTTAAAGCATGGGGAAGAGGAAGATAAGTCCTGCAAGAAATAAAGCCAAAGAACTCATTGGTTCTCCCTGTGCAGAAATATGAAACAATACCCCTTCCTTATACCTTACACAAAAATTTACTCAAAATGAACCAAAGACCTAAATCTATGACCTGATGCAATAAAATTACTAGAGGACACTGGGGAACTCTGCACGACATTGCCACAGGCAAAGACTTCTTTAGAAAAGACACCAGAAAACACAGGCAATCAAAGCCAAAATTAACAAATGGGATTGCATCAAGCTGAGATGCTTCTGCACTGCAATAGGAACACTCAGCAAACTGAAGAGTCAATCAACAGAATGGGAGAAAATATCTGCAATCTATCCAACCAATAAAGGATTAATAGCCAGAATCTATAAGGAGCTCACAAACTCAACAACAAAACAATCCAGTTAAGAAATGGGAAAAGACTTTTTTTCTTTTTAAGATTTATTTATTTATTTGAAAGTCAGATTTACACAGAGAGAGAAGGAGAGGCAGAGAGAGAAAGAGAGAGAGAGAGAGAGAGAGAGTCTTCCATCACTGGTTCACTCCCCAATTGGCCACAATGGCCAGAGCTATGCCAATCTGAAGCCAGGACCCAGGAGCTTCTTCCAGGTCTCCCATGTGGGTGCAGGGGCCCAAGGACTTGGGCCATCTTCTACTGCCTTCCCAGGCCACAGCAGAGAGACGGATTGGAGGTGGAACAGCTGGGACTCAAACTGGCACCCATATGGGAAGCACACACTGCAGGCTGTAGATTTATCTGCTGTGTCACAGTAATGGCCCTGAGGGCATTTTTCAAAAGAGGAAATTCAAATGGCCAACAAAAATGCAAATCAAAACCAAAATGAGGCTTCACCACACCCTAGTTAACATGGCTGTCATAAGAAACCAACAAACAATAAATGCTGGTGAGGATGTGGGGGAAAAGGTACTCTAATCCACTCTTCTTGTACAGCCACTGTGGAAGACAGTATTGGAGGTACCTCAGAAATCTTAAGACCCAGTCATCTGCTCCTGGAAATTTACCCAAAGGAAATGAAATTAGCATATTAAAGGGTTTTCTGTACCCCCATGTTCATTGCAACTCAATTTATGATATGAAATCAACTCAGATGCCCATCAACTGAAGGCTGGATAAAGAAATTATGGTACTATATACTATGGAACACTACACAGAAGAGTCATTTGCATCCAAATGGATACATCTGGAAACCATTATACTTAGTGATATAAGCCAGTCCCAAAAAGACAAATACCATATGTTTTCCCTGATCTGTGGTAACTAATAGAGTACCTATAAGGTAATCTATAGTAGTGAAATTGATACTTTGAGGTTTGATGATGTTTACAGCCCTTGTTTCAACTGTTGAGGAACAACAGTTGAGGTAAATCTTATCAATATAAATTAACTGAAAGTAGATCTCTGTAAAAATTAAGAATGTGCATGGGAGAGGGAGAAGGAAGAAGAGTGAGAGCATTGGTGGGAGGGAGTGTGGGTGGGAAGTATCACTATGTTCCCAAATCTGCATATAGGAAATACATGAAATTTACATACATTAAATAAATTTTTTAAAAAAATATTAAAAGAAACAAGGAAGTTGTAAAAAAGTATGTATAGGATTTAGTTGTGGGAAAAAATGGTTAATTGTTTATAAAAAGTCTCAAAGTAAGTGCTCAGAGGTATTAATAGCCACTATCTCTTTTTAAAAATGAATAAATGGTGAAGGAATGCCAAAAGAAAAAGAAACTAAAAGTATGGCTTCAGGTGCCAACATCAAAAACTGAAAATTATCAAATAAGCAACCTAGTCACAGGGACCTAGAAATAAGCAACTCGTCACAGGGACCTAGAAAATAAGAATGATCCAGAACAAATGGCAGTAGAAAAAAGTTAATAAAGATCAGAGCAGAAGTAAGAAATAATCTTAAGCAACTTTAAAAATCAATAAAATCAACAGTTGGTCTTTAGAAAGCAAAATAATTCTTTAGGAGCACTAAGAAAACAAGGAATAGATTCAAAGGGAAAAAAAGAGGAAAAAGAAGATATTATCACCAAATACAATAGATCACTAGAGACTATTAAAAACTACACACTGGGCCAGCACTGTGGCGCAGTGGGATAATGCCTGGCCTGAAGCCCAGCATCCCATATGGACACTGGTTCTAGTCCCAGCTGCTCCTCTTCTGATATGGCTCTCTGCTATGGCCTGGGAGATCAGCAGCAGATGACCCAAGTCCTTGGGCTCCTGCACCCATGTGGGAGACCCAGAAAAAGCTCCTGGCTTCAGATCAGCACAACTCCAGCCTTTACAGCCATCTGGGGAGTGTACAAGTGGATGGAAGACCTCTCTCTCTGTCTCTGCCTCTCTCTGTAACTCTATGTTTCAAGTAAATAAAATAAATTAAAAAGAAAAGAACTACTACACTAGCAAAACTGAAAACCTAAAAGAAATGGTTAATTTCTGGATACATATAGCTTATCAAAACTGAACCCACAAAGGCAGAGAACACATGAATGGGTCAATAATGAGTAACAGGAATCAAAGTCTCCAAACATATTAAAGGTCAGCACCAGATGGCTTTACTACCAATCTCTACCAGGTGTGGTTTTTTTTTTTTTTTTTTTTTTTTTGGACAGGCAGAGTTAGACAGAGAGAGACAGAGAGAAAGGTCTTCCTTCCGTTGGTTCACCCCCCCAATGGCCACAATGGCTGGAGCTACACTGATTCCAAAGCCAGGAGCCAGGTGCTTCTTCCTGGTCTCCCATGTGGGTGCAGGGCCCAAGCATTTGGGCCATTGTCCACTGCCTTCCCAGGCCACAGCAGAGAGCTGGACTGGAAGAGGAGCAACTGGGACTAGAAACCCGGGGTGCCAGCACCACAGGTGGAGGATTACCCTAGTGAGCTGCGGTGCCAGCGCTCCACCAGATTTTAAAATGAAATAGCACGATCCCTCTCAAGCTATTCCAAAAAGTTGAAATGCAGGGAGTCTTCCCAAACTCTTGAGGCCAGAATTTCATGCAGAAAAGAAATGGGCAGGGATCTGCATAGATATTTCCCAGAAAAATAAATATAGATGGTAAGAACATGTGAGAAAATGATCTATGTCATTAGCCATTAAATAAACACAAGTCAAAACATAATATTAGGGCCAGCACTGTGGAGTATCAAGTAAAGCCAGCACGTAGGGCTGGCACTGTGGTGTAGCGGGTAAAGCTACTGCCTGCAGTGCCACAATCCCATATGGGCACCGGTTCGAGTCCTGGCTGCTTCCGCTTCTGATATAACTCTCTGCTATGGTCTGCAAAAGCAGTCGAAGATGGCCCAAATGCTTGGGCCCCTG